TACACTTAAATACGTTTTACAACTCACTGGCAACACAAGCAGATAGGGTTTAGGACAGTCATGCAGTTTGAGATAGTAATCTTTTTGACATTAAAACTAGAATTCAGATAGTCTAGACTGGAACAGATTGGCTTAATATCATTCATTACCTTATGAAGAAGATCTAACTTCATTCTTTCAGCCTCAAATTGCTGCAGATGCTGCAACCTTCTTGCATGTTCCTCTTCATTTTGTTTTTCTCGTGATTCTCTCTCAGCTTTCCACTTTTTCATCTTCTCATCTTCAACCTCAAGTGCTCGTCTATACTGTTCTTCTACTTCACAATGGGCAAGACGTATGCTCATTTCAAGATCACCTACGAATCAACGAAGAAAACATTTTATTTAATTTCCTGATAAGGACTGGGGAACATTAAACAGTTTTAAGCTATTTGACAAGAAAAAGATCCTATGATTATATAGCCACTAATATATATCTGATTTCCTACATGTATTATATAATATATATAGGAAATCAGAACTACAGCACAAGTCCTTTCCATCAGAGATGTCTTGTTATTCTGCACACTTACTAACTCTGCAACTACCATGCTTATTCTAAAAATGTACAATTCAGGATTGCAAAGGATGTCTTCTGTGGCTTTTAGTGCTTTAGCACTGATATGCTCCAGCCCAAGTCATCCAAAGGCCACGGTAAGGGAACATTCTCAGCCAATGTGACCACAAAAAAAAAAAAACCAAACCAAATTCCAAAAACCAAAACTCCAACAAAAATCTGTGGCCAAATCAGAACCTGCTTAGTGCCTCTGAGCAGCTTTCATTTTTGAGTGGTATTTTTGACACTAATTTCTATGATGATTTTATGATCTTGAAATGAGATAAAGGCAAAAGTGTTTGTTTATGTCAAATCCATCTAGTATCAAGTCCTGTTGTATACTGCAATGTGAAATTATTTTAAAAAAATGCTGTGATACTTATGACAACAGAAAAGCAGGAAATAGTTATATGTTAAAGATCAACTCAACCAAATGAATAATGTGCTTGCTTACCTGTAAGAAAGTGATCTTCAGTGACTGCTTCATCACTGATGGACTGACTATAATCAGGTGTTGCAGCAAGCTGCAAGTCTTCATTTTCAACTTCAAGCAGTATCTAACATAGTTTAAAATTGTTATTAAAAAACAAGAAACGAAATTGAAAAGCAGAACATTATAAAAATCTTCCAGAACAAGGATAATCTTTTTATCATATGACAGATACAACAATGTGAAACTTACTGCTGACTGGAATCCTTACACATTTAATAATGCTAACATATCAGTTATTGTTTTCTAGTGTAACAAATATTTTACTATTTATCAAAATACGTAATGCTTATACGTGTTTTTAAAAATATATTTAATATTTTGACTTGGAGAAATGAATGTCTTGCATTTGAGATTTATTTTACTTTCTGTGAAACCAAGCACTTACGTATGAATACTGTTATGCACACTGGGGAAGAACTAGTTATAGAGCAAATTTTTAAGAAGACTATTTCAAAATAATACAGTGGGCACAAGGATTGCTATATTTATTTCATTGTTCTTTATTGGCAAGTAAGCTATTCCTGCTCATTTATCATCTGTTCATCACATGCTTTGGGCCTATATTAATATTTGTAATGCAGCTAAAGTCACATGAAGTAATTGTGCTGTTTTAAACAATGGTCTTCTGAGAACAAAAAATCATGTTTGCAAGAGTGCTCACTAATAAAATCCAGGCAGCAAATTAAAAGTGAATAAATTAAACACAGTTTTATATTTTTCTAAGAAAACTTCAGTGAGTTATTCAGTCAAATCCTATGAAAATATAGAAGCACTCGTGTTCATAACACTTGAATTGTCTTTGAAAGAGATTACTATGTTTATATTTTCTATAAAATAATGGAATATATTAGGAGCAAGATTAATAGTAGTACATCTTCCTGATCATCATAAAAAAATAAGATTAGAGAAGCTTAAAAGTGTTATCATAATATTAAGATAATGTTCTCCAAGCAACTATCAATAAAGGATTATTCAGCTTTGTTTAATTTTGTTGATTTTTGTGCTCAGTATCTCAGATAATTTATTTCACATTTGAATGCTTATAGACATGTTGTATTGCAGTTGATGTCCTAATTCTAAAGAATTCTGTATAGAAACTCATCTTAATACCTTATGGATAGTCTAACAGAAAAAAAACGGAACACGTTTATAGATCTCCTTAGGAGGCCACTAAAGCAAGTGTAAGTTGTCTAGATTATTTAATAGAACTTTATTCCCTATAAATAATGTAGAAATAAAAAATACCTTTTCATTAAATTGTTTTGAATCTTCATTCGATTTAGAAGGATGGCAAGAAACTACTTCATAAATGGCATCTAAAGAAAAAAATAAATAAAAAATTTAGTTCACAGTGAGAAAATCCCTTATGAGTGCTCAGTTTTGGTCTACACTTATTGACTCAATTTGTTTAAACTAAAATAAAAGAGTTTTTTTTCCTTTTCTTCTCCTCCAGTTTTACTTAAATATGTATGGGAATCATTTATATATATTAAAAGCAGGAAATGTGTGTAACAGAAACGGACACAATGATATGTAAGAATACAGTGATAGCAAATAGGAAAGAGACTTCCACATCATGAAAAACAGCAGAACATTTTCTGTGCAGAAAAACACAGTAGCATTTGTATCAGATAGATCAAAATTTAGCAAAGAACTACAAAACCAATGAAGAAGAGTAAGATTGCATTACAAAAAAAGAATAAATAGGAATGTTCCTCAGCTATCAAAATTTGTAGTCAATGTTGAACTTCTGGTCACCAAGCCTATTGCACTAATGGAACAGAGAGTGGCACATAAACCATGAGCTTGGCTTCAGTCACACAGCTGACAGCAATATTTGTTTTGCCAATAAATGATAATTTCATCCAATGAGAGCTTGGGCATCTCTCAAGGTAGACTTTAGACATATCTTGTGGGAGTCAATTTTACCTGAACCCTGCATTTCAGCTCCTACTGACTTCATTTTAGACTTTCATGAAGAGTCTGGCCTGGGCTCTATCTCAGAGATTAACTTTGCAACTTGCCTTCTTTAGCATTAGATGAGTTTTTAAAAAAGTTTAATTTCTGCTCAGATGTTAATTCAAGAAGACAGCATTGCATGGCTTTATTCCTAGAGATTTTCATCATGCATGCAGAAGCTGATGGAATAGGTTTCACTGCTTGTTCTACTTAAAAGTTTGCATTATTTTATTGGTGCTTATTAGTCTAATGTCCACGGGCAATACGAGGTGTGCAGACATTTTAACTGTGATTAATGCTTACTTCTGCTTTGCTCATCTTCTAAGTCCTGCAGTATAAGCTTTTCAGCATCTTGATTGCTGCTCTTGATAAAGTTTAAATAGGCGAGAACTGATTCTGGTAAGTCACCTGAAATCTAGAAAAACACAACCTTTGACATATATTCTACATTTCCATCTCACTGGCTTGCAAAGAGGTAAATAATTAACACAGGAGAATAAAGATTTGTTTTGGCTTCACCTATAAAGCACTGATGGAAATTAAGCAGCAATTTCCACCAAAATTCTTCCAAACTCCTATACTCTTATTTTCTTATCACCCACTGAAAAATTAATAAATCTAATCTTAATTACATTCTAATCAAATTTTAGTAATGTATCTTGCACTCTCTCCAGAAACACATTTCAATAAATTATTCTGTTTATAACTGTGTTGGACCAAGAAATTAAATAAAAAGGATAAGTTAAAAATTAACAAATACCTGTGAGGTACAGGATCTTTTTCTTTTCAGCATAAACAAACTTTAAATTTATTCATGTTTAAAGTATGTACATAGAACCAATGCTTCAGTTTTCTTTATTACATAGAAACTTTCTATTCAAAAGACTGCCTTTAATGTCAAGATTTTGGGAAAATGGTCCGCCTTCTCTCAAATGTGCAAATTGTGGTAGACGTTGCTGACATTGCTCAGTATGTGAGTGCTTACACACTTATCACTGATGCCTTTGTCCATGTCATATGAACCATGATTTATGATCAATATTATCAATGCTAAAATCCTACAAACCAATCCCTATGCTATGAATCTGAAAGATTAAAATGGCAGAAAAGAACCCAAATAACTGATTTTATTTCAGAGGAAAGCCACTTTCCAAAATAAGAAATCATCTAAGAAAGAGGACTTCAAGAACCTATTTATATGAAATTAGTATCTGGAAATCTTAGAAGGAAGCTCCTAAACCAGGCTCTTGTAAGATTAAAATACAGATTTCAGTGAAGAATAATGGGTTTATTCGTCCAGATTTAATCTACCTCACCAAATCTTCCAGCTTCAGAGGATTCTAAAACAAAATCCCCAGCTCTGATCTTCTCAAGCAGAATGCTGATATCCATCTCTCTTATTGTTACATTTTTCATGAAGCAATACTACCAAGACTACGGTTCAGATCAAAGCCCCAGCTTTGATGTCGGGGTGATGGTGTCGGGGAAATGTTCACTCATCAAACGGGCTTTCCAACGCCAGAAGCACTTTTAGCTCACTGAATACACTGATTTTTACCTCACTGAATACTTACTGACTCACTGTCACTCAAGGCTTCCTCTGACACCTCTGTGTCAGCCTCATCTGTTCCAAACGGCGAAACACTGATTCTGCCTAATTCAATTTCTACTTCTTTTTCAATTCCTTCAATATCTTCCGACATTCTACTTCCCATAGGGTCTTATCTGTTTTGAAAGCTACACAAAAAAAAAATTAATACCGTTCAACACAGCACAAACGAAAATAAACAGAGTCCTCAAAATAAGACTAAGAATATAGAAAGTTTTAATGATACCGAGAAAGCGGTGAGAAATGATGTAACCTAAAGAGGTAAAAACTTGTGGATGGATAGAAGCAGGGGGAAACGGCCTCCCTCCCCCCTTTCGAAACCCCTTGCCCCCTGCAGTTAGGGGAATGGGAGGCAGCGAGCTCGGCTCCTGCACCGGGAGACCGGGCACACGGAGCGCATTCCTGCCGGGAAGGCGAGAAGCGGCTCGCGGCTAAGCGAAAACTACATCTCCCGAAAGGCACCGCGCCCGCAGGCAGCACCGCCCACCGCCGCTTCCTGACAGGGGAGCGGCTCCACCTCTTTGCATGCTGGGAGTTGTAGTCCAGCGCTCAGAGCGCCCGCTGTCCTCCGGTCCCCCCCGTCCACTTCACGTACCCACTCACCTGTCGTTCAGTCAAGCTCCTCACGGAGTCTCCGCCTTTCTGACCGCCTCTGGAGAGCGGCCGCCCCTCCGCACCTGAAATTCCGCACCTGCCAACAGCGGACGGTGGGGAGCTCCGAGGGAGGACGAGAGCTCCGCACGGCGTGGCTACCGCGGGAGCGTCACCACGGCAACGGGAAACAGCGGCTCGGACGGGCAGCGAGAGGAGCCAGACTTCGCCAGGAGCTGCCGTTTCGCGTTCTTGGGGCGTTGGGCAGCGCCCCCCGGCGTGAGGCGGAGCACCGCGCAGCGCCTTTTCCCGTGGTTTTGTTCGGGTTTTTTTTTTCTTTAATATTGGGGTTTGAGGTCTGTTTGTTTGGTTTGGGGTTTTTTGTAGTTTTGTTTATATGTTTTGGGGTTGTTGTTGTTGTTTGAGGGTATTTTTATTTTGGTTTTGGATTCGTTTTTTGGTTTTAGTTTTGGTTTGTGTTTGGGGTTTTTTTTTTGAAGTCATAGACTGGAATTCAGTGTTCACAATAAATTGCAAGAAGCAGTTAAGCGGAAAAAAAAAAAAAATAAACCCATACTGAAGCCACAGTAAAGGTGGTTTATGAAAACACACCAGACATGCCTTCTGTCTTCCCGTGCCGAGGCTGGGTCGTGGCTCAGAAGGGCTGGCTGGCACGGGGGCTCTGGGCTCCGGCACGGCCAGCCGGGCACGCGTGCAGGGGGCCACTGGCTCAGCACGGCCCCGCCGGTGCTGACGTGGGGAGCAAACAGAAGGAGTTTAAAAAACACCCAAAAAACAAGTGGGAGAAAGGTAAATACAAATACAAATTCACAGAGTCATAGGAACCTTTAACATCATCTCTTCCAAATGACCTGCCGTGGGCAGGGACACCTTCCACTAAAGCAGGCCTTGAACACAGGGATGGGGCACCCACAGCTTCCCTGGGCAAACTCTTTTCAAGCCTCACACCCTAAAGAATTTCCTTGTAGCATCTAATCTAAATTTGCCCTCTTCTAGCTTAAAACCTGCCCCCTTGTCCTACAAATGTCTGTGGTGTAAAGTCTCTCGCTGGGACTTTAAATTACTTGAAAATTAATTTAAAAGTCCATCAATGGTTATTAAAAGCTGGAGAAAATGTCCAGCTGGAGAATTAGAGACTAAATAGAATTCAGTCTAGGAAAAGTTGCACAGATCAGGCAGGGTACAGATAATAACATTTTTGTGTGTTTATAGGGAGCACATCTAACCCTGAGTCTGATGAGGAATACCAAGATGCAAAAATAGGTATAACAAAAATTAAGAGCTAAAAGATAAATTTCAGTTTTGCATAGAAAATGTGCATTTTGGGGGCAATGGGACGGATCTGCCAAAAGTGGTAGGGGTTTTCCCATCTGTTGTCCTTAGAATAAGCTGAGTACCTCTCTGAACATTTTAGGAGTGTTAAACAAAAAAATATTTGCTTCAAGAGCAACTGATTACCATTTTATCACCAGTGTTATGGATAAGCATGATAATTAAATATTAAAAATTGAAATGTATCCATTTGAAATCCACCCTTTAATATATCACTGGTGAACTTTTCAATGTGATCAACTCTTTATTCACTGGTTGAATGTGCACTTAATGCTTCTTTTGTAGTGGAGTTCTGCAGTGCACATACTGAATAAAAACCATGTCCTGTCTTACCAAATAAAGGAGATACTTCATAGAAATCATAGAAAGATTTAATTTCATCAAATGAAATGAAGACTTGTCAAACCACTACTCACTCAACCCTAAGGCTAAACTTAACACTAACTCTTACCCTTGCCCTAACCCTAATCCAAACCCTAAACTTAACCCCAACACTAACCCTAACAATAAAACCCCATCCATGTGGGTGGTGGAGTTTAGAAAGAAGTAGGAGCAGCAGTATTGATCCCTACTGGGACCACCTTGCCATTCATGTTAGAGCCATACTGTTCCTGGAGCTGTAGGCTCTCTTACTCACTGAGCCCTGACCCTAAACCCAAACATTGCCCTGACCCTCAGAGTAACCCTAAAGTCCCAATTCCCGTGGGTGCTTGATTTTAGACAGAAGTAGGAGCAGCAGTGTTGGGGCCATGCTGGGATTGCCTTGGCATGCCTTTTCCAGCTCAATTGTTCCTGGAGCTGTAGGATCTTTGACTCACTCAACACTAACCCTAACCCTGATCCTAAAGACATTTGGGATTGTGCAGAGATCCTCATTGCCATGAGTTACACAGATTGAAAGGTGTGGATTTATCAGTTGTGGCACCTTGCCCTGATGCCCTTGCAATGCCTTTTGGATTGCCAGTGTCCCTGAAGCTGTAGGTTCTGCAGTTCTCTGAACCCTCACACAAACCCTAAGTGTAGCTTGTTGTTGCTGCTGAGATCCCCATCCCCAGTGTTGGCACTGATTCAAAAACTGTAGAGTGAACAGAGCTGTGCTGTAACTAAAATTCTTCATTTCATGAATTTGGAAATGAAGGGAAAAAAATTGCATGGCATGGAATGACAGGAAGTGAATCAAAATCAGCTGAAATTTCCTGAAACCTGTTGCCTGTATTGAGAAAGTCTGGGCTGACCATCATAAGAAAACTTCTCTGTTCTAAGGATGTGGTTATGCTGGATTTCAGGAAGAAATATATCACTGCTTGACCATTCTCCATAAGTTAGAATGGAAATATTCAATGCTGGTAGGGAACTTCTTATGTAGAAACAATACAGTATAAAATGTAAGTTAATTTATAAGGATAATATTTTTAATTTTTAGGTAAATATTTTAAGATTAACTGAATTGTTATTAAAATTTCTCAGAATAAATCTTTGAAACCCCATGGGTAAGATTCCAGTTTTCAGGTTGAATATGTAATTGTTCAGGATTTTTTTCCTAAAAAAAATGCATCACACTACTGTTTTGATACATTCTATTGTTGAAAACCAAGAAAAAGTTCAATGACTCTTAAAAGTTGTGAAGCTTCTCCAGGGAAATTGAAAATCCTGTTGTGACATACGCTCTATAGTTTTACAAGATGCATTTTTGACTCCATTATTGACTCCACTCCACTGCAGAGCTAGTTTGAGAAACTTACTACAGCTTTCTTTGCGCTGAAATCCAGCAGAAGAAGTTTTATAATCCAGGCATTGAGGATCTAGACAGGGCAGGCTAAGCTTGTGTTTGCTGAATATTTTCTTCTAAAAAATGAAATTTGATACATATGTAATGTGTTTTCTATGTAAAAAAAGTTGTTAATGCAGGACAAATTTTGACTGCAGAAGCTTCACATTTGTCATCTCTTTGTTTCAGCTGGTATCCTTACTATTCAGTAAGTGCACTTAGAATAGAAGAACAAGTGTATGCCAGGCTACATAAATCTTGCTATATAAATTTTCCAAAATACATGCTGCTTCCAAATGTCTTTAGCAACTTAAAATAAAAAGAGACCAAAACCAAAAGCAAAACAGAACAAAAATGTATGTGTACAGTGTAGCAGAGGCAATGGAGATGATACACCATCTTGATGCTCCTACTGCTGCTGTTAATTTTTTGTTCAATGTATCAGAAAATACTCTTAAAATTTATAAAATATTGTCTGGAGAAATAGAGTTCCATTGTGATTTATAAAAGTACTTATATTTTTTTTTCATAATGAACTGAATATATGATTGTACTTTCAGCTGTGATTCAAAACCAAAAACAAAAAAAAAATTAAAATAAGAGATAAAAAACAAATACAAAAGTGCTATTTATATATCTTCAGTGGAATTTTCTTGGCAAGAAGTCTGTTTTCTTTTTCTTATTTAGCAGATTTAATTTTTTTTTTGGATGTTCTTAATTAAAAAAACCGTCCTTCCCTTCCTTCCCCCCCTTCCCATCAGGCTCTGTGTCTCATGCTTTTGACGTTTGGCTTGTGGCTTTTATTTGACAGAAACAATTTCTTCACTGTTTTTTTCTGAATATAAATAGAATTTTTCTTTTGTTTTAAATGATAGCAGAATAAAAATGCCCTGTCACTGGAAGTGTTCAAATCCAGGCTGGAAGCAGCTTTGAGCAACCTGTTCCAGTGGCAGGTGATCCTCTCCGTGGCAGGGGTGTTGGAAGTAGAGGGTCTCTAATGTCCCTTCCAACCCAAACCATTTTAAGGTTGTATGGTTCTATGTAATCGACAGAAGAAGTAATAGATTTTTTTTTTTCACAAGGTGGCAGTATTGGATTGAGCTGCACGGTTGTAAGGTTTTTTTTTTCCCTCTGGAGTATGTTTTCCATCATTACGTGGTACGATTGTCAAAACAGGAGAAAAGATATTACTATATTTACAATTTAGATATTGTTATAATTTATGCAATTGATTTGTTTCTTCCTCTTGGTGTACAACTTATACATGAATTAGTGAGAAGCAGAACATCTCTATTCATATTTTCTTTATATCATTTACCAGACTGCATTTGACCTGCATTTGATGAGATGATAGATCCTGTAGGTGAGCATTTGGGTGGAATGAAAAAGAATATGACCTCTCCATATGGATATTCCTTTTTCCCATAGTGTCTATAATTTTTTTTTTTTTTTCTAAGAAAAGTAAGTTTTGGGTCACATAACAACAGATGTGCTTTAAAAGAGCAAACTGCCTTGGCTGTGTTAAGAAGTGTCAGTTCCAAACTAATGGCATAGGAACCATCCAGTGCAGTAATTCTGGGAGAAAGCATGTGGGCTGGAAGTAATGAAAACCACTGCTGCTTTCCATATCTGTGCACAAATGGTTGGAATGCAGAGGAGAAAGTGGCCAGTCGCAAAGAGGGAGGACAGCACTGCATCTTTAATTTATTGAGAAATACATTTCTACCTCCCCGTAGGATCTGCACGTGTGTTCATAATTCTTGGCAAACACAAAAAAAAAAAAAATCTGTAAACTTAAACTGTAATTGTTCACTGATTTCCTTGTGAGTGGTTCACATTGTTCAACTGAGAATGTTCTGTTTACATCTCATATGTAATTACCACTGCCTAAATTTATGAAAATATTTCTTTTTCTTCCTGGGGAGGAGGAGGAGGAGGAGGAGGAGGAAGAGGAGAAGAAGAAAAGAAGAAGAAGGAGAATACTCTTTTATAATTCTGTTATTTCCATCCTTTCAGCAATGGCCTTGCAATTGTGTAAGTGGAAGTCTCATAAAAACAAAAGGAAAATAAGTAACAGTACAAATGAACTGTGTTACACTTTCTGCAGTCAAGAACTAGCCAGTGACATATCTTTCTTGTACAAAACTTGGCATTTGATCTGTTTTTACTTTTACATCAGCCATGGGAGTCCTTGCAGTGTTGTGGAAATCAAATGTCTGCTGGTTACAGTATGTGGAAATCAGCCTCCAACTTTCTTGAAAAATTAAACAGAATTTTTTGTGCATGAAAAATGTGATCCTGCCTTGGTGTGATTTCCACATACAAATTTGTTAATAGAAAGACATATTTAGGTAAAGTCCTGGCTCAAATGAATTCTCAACAAAACTAAAGACTTTTCCATATCACTACATGAAAGTTTTCAATGACCAAATACTTGCAGTTTTATGCCGAAAAGATTTTAAACACTATATTTATTAGCATAGATGTTTTTAAATACTTAGTATATATTGAAGACATAAAGAAAAGCCTGGTCCAGAATATAGAAACTTGAACGCACAGATAGGTACAGTATGGCTACAATATTGAAATATCTAAGTATGATTAAAAAGCTGTTATCTCTGTAGACTAAACTGAAGACTCTGTGTGTGTATGCAATTCCTGCTTTTTAAGGGAATTACACTTTTATTTCTGAAAAATTGCCGTGTAACTATACATTTTTATTATCATTTTGATACCACTTTTCCTCCTTGTTTTGTTTATTGTCACTCTTTTTGGGAGATCTGTTTTAGACTGTGTGAAGGCTGAAGCAGAAAACTGTGCTACTGATTAATTTGTTAAGCACTACAAATATAAATTTGCACAGCAAAGAGTGAAGCCCAGGTGCTATAACCAGGAAACTTCTTCCTTCTTCCTCCCTGCCACTGCCTAGGCATGTAGTGTGTGCCTCACAATTTATTAGGTGATGAAACAAAAACGTGTGTCATTTCCAGCTTCCATGGAATCATCTACTATCACAGTATTTAAATACTGTGGGTGAAAATTTGTTTTCACTGGAAATAAGCAAAATCAACTCTCTTTTTATCTTGCATCTTATAGCTCAGAGGAGTTCTTAAATAGGCACTTAGGTACCATTGTCTTTCAAACAGGAAATAAAGAAATAAGAATTTTCTTCAGTGAAGCACAGTAGCTTAAAAACAGCTTTTGTTCTTCACTTCCAAGAAAGTTATGGCTGTGTCTTTTAGCCCAACACAGGGAGTTGTGCTTTGCTTGAAGTCTGCTTCTTAGACTATGATGTCACTTTCCACAGGTTTCCAGGAAAATAAATTCTTATTTTTTGTTGAAATCACTGTAAATAATAGTCATGAAGGACAGTACGCAAGGTTCTTGAATTTTTTAATGTATTACTCACTTATGCAAAATCATGTTTATACATAGCTTGGCTTTGTGCATTTTTTCAGTTTATGAGTTTTCAAATACTGGTATTTGTAATGCAGATGGCAATATTGGTGCTAATAATGATGAAAAAAGAAGCATGCAAATAAATTATGTGGAACTGCTGATAACTTAAAATTTATTTGTGCAATTAATTAAAACATGTCTAATAGTCAGTTCTCACTGTAAACTGTATTACCATTTGATTGAAGCTGACTATTTTACATGTTGACCAGGAATAGTAGAACATGTGAAAAACTTAATTTGAGGAATTCAGCATAGTTCAATGTAGTAAATGGGAGTGCATGGAAATAAATTTCCAATTTCTCCCCTGCAAAAAACCACACCTATCCTATGCAGGAATGTGGAATCAGCAGTGGAAGGGACAGCTTTATTTTTGTTGAGGGATTTCCTGGGTATCTGCAGGTGTGGGAGGAAGCATTACATGCTGAGCTGTGTCTGTTAGTAGGTGACAGAAGTTGTCCCCTGTGCAACTGATAGTAGGACTCACTGGTATGGCATACAAAGTACACCAATGAATGATTAACATTATTGCTTGAACTTGTATTTTAGGTGCAAACAGAGATCTAATCTAAGGAACAGGTATCTTCAATTTGAACAACAGCAAGCCACAATAAATACTAACATAGCTGCTGTCTCTAATAACTGTTCCACTTTGAAACTTTATTCAGTCATTTATTTTTTTACACATAGCAACTGCAATAGCTTGAGTAGTTCTCACAGTGTTATGTGGAAGATAATCTCTACTGAATCAATACCAGCCTGGCCACTTTTCTATTCCGTAATTTCAAAGGTTATGGTTTAAGAAAACCTCTAATGACAGTGTTCTCATAAGGTTCATATGGTTCTCCAAAGCCTGCTGCTATTCAGGCAGAGTACAGCACAAATAAATTACTTTTAATCCTTCAAAGTGCATCTGTATAATCAAATTTCTTTATCAAATGTTGATTTCTAATGACGGAATCATACCTGTTTTATATAATGGTTTTATATTTTGAAAGATTTAAACTGTCATGAATAATGCATTCTGGAGTCAGCTATTTGTGCTAGAAAAATTGATTGAAAAATTGTAATTACTCTTGATCTCAACCTTAATTAAGTGTTGCTGAAGTATAATGGTTACATAATCATTAACTGTGGAAAGCTTTTGAGATTTGTTTTTAGGATGGCTATAACAAGGAAAATGAGGTGGAGAGTTTAATTTTTTCATTGCTTTGTAATGAAAACTTTTAGTGGCCTAGGATTTCTCCTCTGCATACATTCCCTGCTGCAGACTCTCTAATTAGACTCTTTACGATGAGCTTGCCCATTTTAATTAATGTTGAAGGCGTATTTTATCAGTCTCAGCAAAGATGCACAATCTAGGGCCGATAGGAGATGTTCATTCCCCCATCCTACAGCAAAACATGTCCAGGCCAGATTCTGTGGTACTCACAAAAACTTATATCACATTATGTTTAGAATCAATTTTTGGTTTGTGCTTATTATTATATGCTACTGTGCTTATTAAAAGTAAGTATGAGAGTAGGATTTAATATTTCAGGACAGATTAGGTAGAACTAAAATGTTTCCTGGCTCTCCTGGCTCCAGCTGGGCAAATCACCTTGTGCCTGCCTGTGCTGTGTATGTGATTTGGGTTGCTTCATTTATCCTGCCCTTTGGCATTACAATTTTCCTATTAGTGCAATGGCTATGATGTGTCTTGGGTCATGTTTGGGAAATTGATTAGAATGCTGCTGCTTGCAAGTAATCTTTGAAGGAAGAAGCCTGAATATCAATAAAAGATCAAGGATTGTACTATCCATCAACACTCTTAACAATATGCATATATCAAGTCATATAAGTATTTATTAACAGGTTCACAATCAATTGAACAACAGAAATGATGATTTTATTACTGAATACAGGAATGAGAGTCTGACTGAGCAGGAACATTCTGAATGCTATGCAGCATGATGTAAGGAAAAAGCCCCGCAAGTCGTACCTAAAAATACTGCATTCATCAGAAATGTGTATACCAATCAGAACTTATTTTAAAAATCTCATTTAGTAAAGGATTAATTTTTCAAGTTCTGCTGCTTTTATCTGATGTGGGTTGGCAGATTCCTTGCTGTTATATGAGTCACTATTGATGAAATTAAACTCTTGAAGAACTTCTCATTTCATGGAGGAACAGAGAGTTCTGGTCACTGAAAGCTGAAAAAATTCCTGCAGCTGAAAAAGTTAATGGGTGTCCTGGTATTTTTACAGTGCTAGATTCTATAAAACACTTGATCTGCTTATGTCTTGAGGCTGATGTAAATCAAGCAGAGATGTTATGAGGTCAAAGTAGAGCTCCTCCTGTGAGAAAATTTGAATAGGTTTTGCACTGATATTCTCAGAAATAGTGCTTGAGATCTAAAATGAGCTTGCAAATTAGGACTTTCAATACACATATTTAGTTATTACTCAAAATATTTCCTGTGGCCTGGTAGCAGGTAATTTGTTTACTGCTTTAGAAAAGTCTTTTAAAACATTTGGATGGTGTCAATTATATTAGAAGTAGTTAGGAATGTTTTTGACCAGTGATCTGTTATCCACCTTTGAAATTAATTCTGTATTATGAGCTTTTAATTACAAACACTTCAGTTTAACAACTTAATATGGTTTAATATGCTTCTATGGATCAACTGTGAGTCCTTTAATATGACTTCTTCCAGGGCTGAGTTACATTATTTTTAATGAGTGCTGAAAATAATTGATGATTCCAGATAATTATCAAAGCATATAGGTCTAGTCTCAAGATTACAAATGCACTTGCAATGTATTTTTAAAATCTGTTCTTTGAAAATCTATTCATTGCATTCATGATTTCTAAAGTGATTAGTGGTGACCCCATTATGTCAATGGTTAAGCCAGACTATGTGCTGGTATACTTGACTGCAGTTTTATTGGACTGTTGTAGGAGCACAGACTCACCACCCAACCAGCTACTGGAATCATTGGCCTCTGCCATGAGAAAGACAAAAAAAAGAAGATCATGAATAGTATTTTATATATTCTTCGTGATATTTAGTGAACTGCTTAAAGATGGTAACTATTTTAAATAAAACCATGGAGTTGTTGAAATGGAATGTGTATATAGGGAAAGGACAGCTTTTGCTAAGTTATCTAATTTTCAAAATTTAGAAGCAGTAGATCTTGAACTGACCCTTTAAAACATGAAAATGGCATGTTGTTTAGCATCTCTGAGCTAAAATACAGAAGACTTTCATCCCAATAAACAATTCAAGTATATCTGAAGATTCATTCTGATTCAGAATGAGAATTTCCTGTAATTTTCTACATGAAAAGAATTCCATTCTCCAAGCTGTTTGATAGTTTAGTTTTTGTTTTACTGGTATTGAAGTAGGTTGTTGGGAAGAGCTAGATGATGATTATTTGAACACTGCATAGTGTTTGCTTTGTCCTCCAAGTTTGAGCTACGTGTTGAGGACAGATCAATTGCTATTAAAATGAGTTGGAAAAGGGAGATCTCAGATAGGACAATTTTGGCCAATTAAAAGGAACAAAGGAATAAATAAATAAATATTCTCAGGATTTGGTCCATATTGAAGCTTCTACATCCAAGTTTCTGAGTTTTTATTTGATTTCTATTGTAGATGGAATGCCATGGAAGATACAATACCACACAGTGGGAGAGGAGCTAAACAAAGAAAAAGAATACTCAGTTCCTGTGTCCATGCACAAAATGCAATCTAAAGAAATGGTTTTGTGATGTCCCAAGGAATTCAACACACAGTGTGGTAAGAAATAAAAAATTTCTTGAAGAATGTAACTTTTGTTACTAAATACACTTTAGAAAAAGAAGCACAAAACATATTTTCCTTCAAGATGTGGACTACAAATGCCAAAGTTTTAACAATATTCATTGTTTTGTCTCTGGTCACTTGGAAGCCTTGGTTTTTACTTGTTAGCTGTCAGTCATGTAGGCAGTTCTAAATTAAGGATGCTTTAATAGAACAGGAGTTGTGCCTGATCAATATCACAGGGAAATTTAGAAGTGGTTTAAGAAGCATCTTGGCATAAACCCATGCTGTGCAAATCAATGATGACAATGGAAAGCGGCAGTACATAAAGAGTGGACCGTGCATTTTCCACTCGTAATTGTGGGCAATGTCTCCACTTGTTTGTATTATTGGTTTCCAGAGCATCTCCAATACTTTACAGGATAAGTGGAATGAGCAAGACACTGAAATATGATGTGTTTTGTGAGTCCAGTCCATGTGAGCATTTATGCGTCTTAATATCAAGGGACTGGTTTGCATAGGACCACCTGATATCACCACCTGAGCTGTGATACATATCACCTGAGCAAAGTGATACATGTTTTCCTCTTCTGAAAACCATGCAGTGTTACTAGGACCAGCCAATGAGGACAAAAATGCAGTGGGCAGTTGTTGCTTCTTGACAAAGCAGAACAGTAAATAATGGAAAGTTGTCCAGTGACATCTGCTCTTGTCTAGTTTTGTTCATCAGTTCTGAATTTTTCCCTATTTCTACAAACCCTTGTCATTATTTAAAAAAAATAATTTCTAAGTATAGAAAACATTTATGTATATGTTTTATTGTATTTGTACCTATTTTAATCTACATAATAATTTGACAATTTTTAAAAAAACAATAAAATAAATATAAATTTTAACCTGAAACATATACATATAGATTTCAGTATGCATAACTCATAACAATCAATGAAAACTTGAAAATATTTTTTCAGCATTTGCTTGTAAGTTAACGTCTCAGTTAAACACACAAAAAAGCAAAATCTGTTTTGATTAAGTAAGTTCTGGAACTTTTCCATGCAAAAATGTCAAATTTTCTTAAGAACAAGCTGCTTAGTTCAGTTAATTTTAATAATGCTATTGCTAATATTCCCCAGTAAATATTACTGATGTATTTGCCTTCTGGCAGGTAATTACCAGAACCTATCATACCACACATATATAGAATAGAAAGGTTCTATTCTATATATTTTAAAAGTATGTTCTTATTAAGATGCAATATAAGTTCCAAAATTGACATGATTTTTCTTGACTTCCCTTTTAATGTACTTGCCTAGGGATGTGAAGAACATTTAAATACATATTTTGAAAACAATGCTCTTACCTTAATCAAAATTACTGTCAGCCTACTAACCAGACAGGTAAGACTACTTCTAAGCAAAAAACCCACAAAATGCTGGTATTTTTACTGGGAGTAAAAAGCAATCCAGTGCCATTTGGTTTTGACATGCTCTACAAGTTTTTTTAAATATTTCCATCAATTTTAATTAGAAGAAAGATCAAGCACTGTTTACCAACAATCTGCCATATATTCAAACACCATCGGAGATTGTGCTGTCCAAAGCCTGTAAAATGCAGCGATTGACCAGGCTTCTGGGACCAAACAGCATTTCAAGGCCAGGAAGTGGTTAAAGAGTATATAAAATCTCTGCACCAAAAGACCTCTTTTGTCCTCTGTTTGTACAGAACCTACTCCGTGAGTGCATTAAATCAAAGAAGGCAAAACAATGAAATCTCTTCTCCCACATCTATGAGAAAATTTTCTTTGACAAAAAGCATACAGCTTTCAATATCAGAACAAAATCACATGAATAATGGCAAAAAGAATTGATTGTTCACTCTACAGATACCCTGAAGGTAGGCAGAAGGCAGGAAGAAGGATTTTTAATAATATCTAAATTTGTGAGGTTGAATATGAAATCAGTGCATTTTTATTCAGACAATTAAAAACATGGCCTGTTTTACCTCCTCCATAGGTCTAGCTTCCTACAGATGTATGTAGTAAGAATATTCTGGCTATGAAGTGAGCCAGTTCAGTAATGAAAAAGTTTATTTTTCATACTTACCTAATCCTCACTAGTACAGATCATGACTGTCTCATGATCCTCAATATACTGTCACTGACACATTCTTGTCAGATGGCAAAGATCTATTGCCCCCATTCAAGAGCTAAGACCAAGAATCATAGAATCACTTAGTTTGGAAAAGACCTTTAAGGTCATTGAATCCAACCATATTTGGATTCACAGGGTAGTGAAAATTTCAACACTTAACACTGAATTATGTGTCACTTGAAATAGATTTAAAGATACATCTGTGAATGCGGACCCAAGTGACTTGCTGGATGTCACGAGTACAGCAAGTCTGTACTGATGCAGAAAATTCAGCTTGTGTCTTTAGACATTGTGATCATTCTCCTTTATATTCTCTGTATTGTTATTCATAGGAGCCCAGTTAGCAGTCAGCTTGGCTCAGTCATGAGTGAGTTTAAACACTTTCTTGACTGTTTTTATCTCACCCTTTCTCCTTTCCCAGATTTTTTTGATTGCACTCACCAGCTATCTAGAAAAGTCAGGAAGCTAATATTTGGCCAAATGAATCATGAACTCTCCTGAGCATTGCTGTGGTGCAATAATTCTCTGATCCATTCTTATGACAGTCTCTGAAATCACTTCCACTAAAATTTGGATTAGGCTTTACTTGTTGTAGTCATGATAATATTAACATTCAGGCTTTAATATATTTGGGTTTTGCTCATGCCAATGGTTATGGTAGTATGCTACAAAATTTTGTGCGTTAAAGTTTGAAGTACTATGTTATTCACTAGCTGGTTAACAAATTTTCCTGATTAGCTGAATATTAGTTACCTAAATGCCTGGATCTACTTGTTCAAAGTGATGTAAATAGTACTATATAGCACACTGCACTTTGAAACAGAAGGAGCCCTTTACCAGATTTGGTCAAGAAAAAAATTTACTAAATGTTGCTTCCTTAGGCCTCTGCTTTTTCTTCCAGTCCTTCTCTGTTTTGTCCTTATCTGTTGTGTAATTTAATCTCAAGGAATTTCACTGAGTCTTGTAAATATTGGAGTCCTCAGGTTTTTTCCAAGGAGTGTTGTTGTTGACATCTTTTTTTCTCACTCAATGTCTCTTGCCAATAATTTAATCAAATGGATTTAGTGGTTCAGAGTGGAGTGGTCTTGAAACCATAAAACTTTCTTTATCCTCTGATCAATGAGGTGACCTGAAACATCTTGGGAACAGAGGAAGGTGTAGTATTGCAAGCATATGTGGTAGCATTTTTTAATTTTTTCTCTAAAACTTCCCTTTCAGTAATCAATTTTCTGACCTTTATAAATTTGGTATATTTTTTTTTTATTTAGAATGAAAATAATTGCTGTTGGAAGCGCTTGCCATGGGCTGAATTTTTTACTCATAGAATGTGAAATTCAAGGAAGTGCCTCCTTCCCTCCAAGAGTTACATTTTGGGAAGTATATAATACTTCAGTCAGTGTGAAGCAGCTTCTGAAAATGTACCAATACTTCTATTCAGTCCACATGGGAGGGTTCTTCACTAGTCTAGCACAGTACATTACATCTAAACCTAATAAATACCTATTCATGTCTCACTGTTTTGTTACACTAAAAATAATTGATCATGTCCCCTGTTTCAAAAGGGTATTGAGGATGAGATTACCTGGCTAAGTGCAGCCATGTAAAGCTGGACAAGTATTCTAGTGCATATGAAGTGTAAGGTACTCCTGTAGAGTAGCAATTAATCCCTTTTCCTAGGTAAATATTATAGAATGGCATCCTCTTAGATGTACCATTATTCTGCTGGTTCGAGTGGGAACCTACTTGCCCTTACTTATAGCTTTTACAACTTAAAATGGCTAACAATAAATGAACTGGATTCCACTTTAATAATATATAATCAAGAATTCAGAAATTCCCAAATAAAGTTACATGTGAAATTTGCATTTGTCCCTAATGTATCTTTATTCTAGAATGTTTGTGAATTATGTGCTCACATATTGGCTTTTCACAGTAGGCTGAAATACAAATTCTTTAAAAATGTATTGTGGTTTGTACACAAAGATTGTCTTAGGTTGGACTGAAGTGACTTCTAAAGTCCTAACGAAAAAGTTGGCATGCCCAAATGAGAGAAGAATGTTTGTATGTACATATATTCTGTGTGTAAGGAAATGCTCAACAATACCTGGTAAGACCTGTATAACCATTCAAAATTTATAACTGATGATAAAATATCCAGCAAGCACACAGATAACTAGACAATAGACAAATGTGTGTGTGCAAGAAGATTATATATAAAATTGTCAATACTGCCACATATACTGCTGATGCTTACCAGGAATAACTATAAAACATAACTTTTAATGTAAAATTTAGTAAAAAAGGAATAAAATTTATGGGATGGAAAGCTAATTACTCTTGTTAGTGTTTTGAGATACAAAAATGAAAACAAGTATTTTTTTGACAATTTATGCAATTGTGGTGGGTAGCCACTAGAGGACACAGGGAGCTTAAGAATAATGCAGGTGATAGACAAAAATAAGATTTGCAGTATGCCATAAATACACACCTTGTACATAGCTCACACTTAAAAAGATATTGAATAAGTCTGAAGCCAGTAGCCACAAGGTACTGTTCTAACAGAGAAAATTATTTTGAGAGACTGTGCTTCAAAGGAATGGCATGGGAAACAGCTCTCAGTAGCTGTGTTAAAGCTCTGTAAGCTAATGAGTGGATCCAGTTCAGCTAATTAAGAAGCTGTGTCACCAAAGTTAGGAGATGTCCTTAAAGGAATTATTAGTACAAGTGACAGGTAGAAATCATAACTGCATAAATGCTCTATACAAAGTAAAGAGAGAAAACAGAGACTGTGGTTGCACAGTCACTTTCATTTAGCTTAGAAGCACTCTTCTGCTGCAGAGTGGTCCCACTGCCTTCAGAACCTGGCTGGGCACTGGCACTAGTTGCCATCAGCTCTGTGAGGTAATGGTCCAAGGCTCTGATGGGTCAAAAAAATAATCCTGCAATAAAGTAGCAATTTTTAAATTTTTTGTTTGGCTGGTTTTGTTTATTTGTTTTGGTTTCTTATTTTGGGTTTGGATTCTGTTGTTTGTTTGTTTGTTTGTTGGTTGGTTTGTTTGTTGGGTCAACACTTGTTCAGCGTAAAATGCATATACATTGCAGGGATTAGAATTTTTGTTTGTCCTCTCTGTACATAGGGTATTCTAAACCCTATCCTAAAATTAGGGTGCCTCTGGTTTTCTTAATATCTGCCCAACCTTGTTATCTGCCTGGGTGCACAATGGTTAACCTTCAGTAAAAGAACACTGAATCTTACCCTCAGTGCCCTCTCAGTGCCTCATGACTTGAAATTTTAAAATGGTTTCAACCTTTTGAGGATTATGAGACTGAAATTTCACAAGTTGTCTATCTCTGTAATTGGTTCTCCAGTTTTTATAACATTAGATAATATAAGGTAATGGGATCAGCATCAGCATTACATCAAATAAATAGTCATGGTGTTCACTGTGACTAATGTTTGCAGAATTCTCCTGGGGGCTTAAGAAGAGTTCAGGTGGCTCTAAATAAATCCTAAACTGCTCAGTTTAGGCTTAAATTTTTATAGGGCTACAGGTACAAGTCTAGCTGACATGTAGCAATGTAGCAGGCACTTTAAAACTCCATTGTCACTGAAGCTCTGAGAAAATTTTTTGACAAGTTAGGCACAAATTAACTATATGCCTGTCTACATGGTTAGGCAACCCTAGAAAAACAGTGGTGTGAGTGCCACCTGGTTATTTTGTTTTCATACTCTGAAAGAAATAGAAATTGTAGTTATTTGGTTTGCAATTATATTGCTCATACTGCTCAGTTCCTGAGGGAACAGAATCTGCAGTTCCCACCGGACATTTGTAATTTGTGTTTGGTACTTATCCAAAGCTAATGAAATCAATGTCAGTTCTGTGAATGTCATGTGTATGTTCTGAATGGGAAGCTCCCAAAACACTGTCGATAGAGCTACTTCAGCATAAAAGTCATGGGGAAGAGGTGAAGAGGTTTATGTATTTTAAACACTAGTTTGGTCTAGAACATGTTGGATGATTTCAGGTATGACATCCAAGGATTTGAGCATCCCAACTCAAAAGAACAGGACAGATCAAAGAGATAATTTGTCTAGGATGACTCTTTGTAATGAAAATTTGAAACCACTTTTTATTATATGGATACTAGCAGTCGGAAAATTATTATGCATTAACAAAAAACAACCCAAAACGAAAACAAACAAAAAAGTCCCCCCCCAAAAATAAACAAAACAAACAAAAAAACCCAAAACAAAACAAAAAAAAACCACAAAAAAACAAACCTC